AGAGGACCCTAAGCCCTCTGTCCCCGTGCTACAAGGGGTTACAGAGAATGGACTCCTCTTCTCAGCCCCCCTTACCGACTGCCTCTCCCAACTGATCAGGTGGCCAGGATGGCACCCCAGGGTGGCTCAGGAATTTAGGAGGCCCACGTTTTACCAGGGGGCGGGCACAATGAGAATTGCCCTGTGTGGCCGACTCAGTTGCTCTTCCTCTGAGGGCAGTCAGCCCACAGGACGGTGAGGGCAGTGAACAGATGACATGTTGGCCCTTAGCCAGTCATGATCTCTATAACTGGAAAAACAAAAACCCCAGTTTCTCGCAGACACTCAAGGGCCCTTTTTAACCTTTTAGATTTTGCTATTTTCAGTCACCAGCCCACGTGGGAAGATTGCAGTCAGGCGTTACAGGTCCTGTTTACCAGGGGAGAAAGAGACCCAAACATCAGTACCAGAACCTGATGGTGACCAACTGTCACCCCTGCCCTAATGGACCAAGGCTCCCCCTGACCCACTCTAACTGGAATTTCAGCTTGGCAGAAGGTAAGGAAAGGTAAGCTAAGGTATACCACCAAGTTCTGATGAGTGTTCTCTGTGTGGCCGCTCATCAGCCCATCAACTTGGTCAAAGTCAGGATGTACTACAAGAAGACAGAGTCTCCATCTGCTTTCTTAGAACAGATTATGGAGGCCTTTACGGCATCCTCCCCTACAGATCCTGAGACCAAGTAGAATAGGTCAGCCATGGCTATGGCCTTTTTTTGTTTGTTTGTTTGTTTTGTTTTTCGAGACAGGGTTTCTCTGTAGCTTTGGTGCCTGTCCCGGAACTAGCTCTTGTAGACCAGGCTGGCCTCGAATTCCCAGAGATCCGCCTGCCTCTGCCTCCCGAGTGCTGGGACTAAAGGCTTGGCTATGGCCTTTTTTAATTAGGTGCAAATTACAGAAGAGAGATGGGCTTGCACCCAGAGCATCTGGGAGCTGTTCAGGTGTACAATAACCGAGAGACCCCAGAAGACAAACAGAGGAGGTCATTGCTACAGAAAACGCAAAGCAGACTCAAAACCTAGCAAAAATTCTCCTAGCATCCACCATAGGAGATCCAGATGAAAAGAAGCAACTGAGATGCCTACCCAGAGACCAAGGTAAGGACCTCCACTCAAGGGAGCTCCCCAGGCTGCAGAGGATCTATGTGCTTATTGCAAGGGAATAGGACATTGGGTTAGAAAATGCCCCTGAAAGTCTAAATATAAGGGCCAGGACTTGGGATGTGACTTCCACCATTCGCTGAACGACCACAGTGACTAGGGGAGATGGGGTTCAGACCCCCTCCCCAAGTCCAGGGTAACTCTCAGAGTGGAGAAGAAACTTACAGGTTTTGTGGTAGACACTGGAGCTCGACATTTGGTATTGCCCAAACCTCAAGGGAACCTCTCTCAAAAAATACCTTAGGTATAGGGAGCCACAGGTATGCGCCAACATTCATGGACTACCTGAGGAACAGAAGACCTCGGTAGGGACTGACTTTCCCACTCATCCCTGGTCATACCTAACTGCCCCTAACTTGTATCAGGAAGAGACTTACTCACTAAGGTTGGTGTTCAGATCACATTTAACAAAGATGGAGTCTCAATTACAAATCAGGAGGGACAGCTGGTCCAAATCCTCACCCTCCAGCTTGAGGATGGATACAGACCATACCAGGAGCTGGTACCTGTCCCTCAGGCCATGGCCACATGGCTAGCCCAGTGTCCAGAAGCATTCGCAGAAACTGGGGAATGGGCTTGGGGAAACCTCGAGCCCCAGAGCTCACTGAACTCAAGACTGATGTTCCTGCCTGGGTGCAGCAATACCCCACGTCCTGGGAGGTGAAGAAGGGAACTTGTGGAACTAGAAATTCTGGTCCCTTGCCAGTCAGCCTGGAGTACTCCCTTGCTCCCCATTAACTGAGACAGGGGCCAGCTGAGAGAGAGCAGTTTTTATGTCTGCCTGGGACACAAGACCGAGAAGTCCTGGCTCTGGTAATGGGGAGGGGGGAGTCTTCTGTGCACCTTGGAAATGCGTGAGTACTGGACCTATCTGGTGGACACCACCGGTGAGCGATGATCTGATCACTGTCTGACGAGGTAGATATGATGCGGGTTGTGGGTCCTATGGAAGACGGAAATATAACCCTCTCAGGATAGAATTTACTGATCAAGGAAAATAGATTCTGACTGAGGAATGGACTACTGGTAAAACCTGGGATATTCAAATCTATGATGGACCTTGGACCTTATCTTCACTATTAGATTAGAGGTTCAGATAAACCCCCAGGGGCAACAGCACACAGCGCAGTCCAGGTACCTCGGGAGGGGGTTGGACACCAGAAGTCTACTTGGGATCCACCCCTCAGGGTCGGGATTCTTCACCCTTTATGGGACTTGGTTTCTAAAACCTTCCCAATTTTCCAGAGTGCTGACTTTATCTAAATGCACAACCACTTTCTATGTTGGTATTGCTACAGCTGGTGATTAAACCTCGGTCTCCCCAAAATCCTGCCCTTGTGGGGAAAAAGGAAAGATTTAGCAGCTGACAGGTACGGGGACCTGTATGGTGTCCCTTGGAAGGCGAGCCCCAGCAGGTCTATGTAACCAGATCATCACTATACAAAATGATACCCTCAGCCGGGCGGTGGTGGCATACACCTTTAATCCTAGCACTCGGGAGGCAGAGGCAGGCGGATCTCTGTGAGTTCGAGGCCAGCCCGGTCTACAAGAGCTAGTTCCAGGACAGGCTCCAAAGCCACAGAGAAACCCTGTCTTGAAAAACCAAATAATAATAATAATGACACTGTCTCTTTGGTGTCTGCTGGATGGGGGGCTTGCACGTCGGGGCTCACTCTCTGCACCAATGGGAAGTCCTTAGCACAGAACAAGGTTTTTGTGTGATGGCCCAATTGTTCCCCAACATAAAATACTATACAGAGGTCCAAATGGAACTGGCCTTTCCCCTGCTCCTCCAGGGAAAAGTGGGCTATAGGGGCAGCAGCTGTCTTGCTCTCTTCCCTGGTAGGACTGAGCATGGTGGGAGCAATGGGGTGGGCACCTCAGTCTTAATTCTCCAGGATAGAAACTACCAGCCATCAATTCGGATCTCAAAAACATAGAACAGTCTATACTCAATCTAGAGCCCTCTTTAGATTCCCTGGCTGAGGTTGCCTTACAGAATCAAGAGGTTTGGACCGCTTCTGCTGCCCTGGGGGGAAAACGTTGTTTCTATGTCAATCGCTCCAGGGTAATAAGAGATACAATGACCTCTTTAAGAAAATGGATCAATGATAGAGAACAGAATGCTGGATGGCATGAAAACTTGTTCATCCGGTCTCCTTGGTTAACAGCCTTATTTGAGCTTTAGCAGCCCCAATGCTCCTGCTCGTAGGAGTACTTACTCCTGGCCCCTGCCTCTCAACAGACCCATGACTGAGTTCTGTCATTGGTACTTGTGAGGGGGGAATGTAGGACCCAGGGCAGCTTGGTACACAGCTGCCAAGTCAGGCTCTACAGACCAACAGGAATGTAGGCCTGAACCTCGGTTTACCCTAAGGCAATACATGGTTCCAAGAAAAACCACAAACGGAGACCACCCATCCTCCACCCCAAACCAGACCATCCAAAGACAATTTCTAACATTCCAACTACTGTAAGTAGGATCACTTGATGTCCCTTAGCCCAGTACACACCCATCCCCTTTTCACCAGGGCACCCCTAGACAGACAATGCCAGTCAATCAGGGGTCCTGAGCCTTAAAAATCCCTCTGCTATTATAAAAACCCTATCCCAACTGTGCTCAGGGCTCTCTGGTCTCACTAACACATTGGGCACACGGAGAGTCTGAGTTCGTGAATAAAGGCTCTTTGCTTTTTTAAAAAAAATATTTATTTATTTTGTATAAATATTCTGTCTGTGTGTATGCCTGCAGGTCAGAAGAGGGCACTAGACCCCATTATAGATGGTAGTGAGCCACCATGTGGTTGCTGGGAATTGAACTCAGGACCTTTGGAAGAGCAGGCAATGTTCTTAACCTCTAAGCCGGTTCTCCAGCCCCAGGCTCTTTGCTTTTATATACGGGACTCGGTTTCCTTGTTGGTTTTGGGGGGACTCCATGGATCTAGGTATAACAACACACAGACACAGGCACACACATAAAGACATACTTGAGTGTGTACATATGCTCAGACTCACACATGCTCACTCACACTGACACACAGAGCACACACTCACACACAAACAGAGACAGTCACACACACACACACACACACACACACACACACACACACACACACAGGCTTAGTGAGCAGAAGCACTTCCAGGCACGCCTGAGAATGTGAATTCCTGGAGTCCACATCCTGGAAAGAGAGAAACAGTTCTGGAATGCTGTCCTCTGACCTCCACGTGTTGCGTGCTGTGCTACCCGTGAGGCTCGCTCCCACACTCATAAATAAATGTAATTTTTTAAAATTTAGATTTATTTTATCTTATGTGCTTGAGTGTTTAGCTTGCATGTATTTCTGTTACAAAATGGGTGGAGATACTTGCAGGTGGCGGAGCACTTGCCTCACATACGGGAGGTCCTGAGTTCAAGTCGTTGCTCCAGCGTAAAAGAAAACCTGAAACAAATTTAATTCAGTGCTAGGAAACCAGGGACGGCTCCCTGGGGCACTGGAGACTGGGAACAGAAGAACAAATAGGAGTTCTGTAACCCAGGAGAATGTAAAACAAGAGCACCGGTTAGGTTGCTCAGAGAGGGAAACCGAAACGTGGAGACCTAGATAGGCGGCAACAGGGATGGAGAGGCTGGTCCCTGCTGATCAGCGGGCAGACCGGACCGGCCTGGGCCCGCCCAGCAGCCGGGCGCTTTAAGGCGTCCGGCCCGGCCCCGCCCCGTCACGCGTCTCCGGCTCCGCCCACGTCGCAGCGTCTGCGCGCGTCAGGCGCTGTCCGCGCCCCCGGTGCTGAAGCGACATGGCCGGTGGCTGGGCCCCGGCTTGATCCCCGAGCCCCGCGCTACGCCCGCTGCGCTCCGGCCGCCGGAGTCATGTCTCTGCTGTGCGTCGGAGGTAGGAGCTGCGTGGACTCGGGAAAAGTGCCGAGTCCGTCCGCGTGGTCGCGCCGAGCCGGGCTGCACCGCGGCAAGGACCCCCGGTGCGCGCCGCAGGGCACGCACGGATCAGCTCTGGGGGTCCTGCCTGCCGCACACGGGCGTGGATGCGGGGCTTGGGCGCCTGTGTAGACGCTGTGTAGGCACTGGTAGGGGCGGGAGAGTCGGGCGGCTCTGGGGTGCGGAGTGTGAGGGCAGTGGGCCCGACCTGGGCGTTTGGACACCTCCTCTGGTCCCCACTGTCCCCCACTTAGTGCTGCGGGATCTGCGGAAGCGCCTGGTCCCCTCTTCGCCTCACCCCTATGACTGAAGGGAGGGTAGGAGACTGGGGGGGGGGCAGCTATTTTGGGGCCAAAACGCCATCTGCACCGAGGCCCACGCCCAGGCCCACGCTCCATGTTTGGTGAGGGGAGGCCGGGAACCACCCGAGAGGTGTGACCCCTGCACCTCTCGAAGCCCCGGGTGGGGCCAGGAGCAGCCCCAGGGTAGCTCTGCTGCTGCAGACCTTGGGCGGCGGAGAGGGCAGATAGGGGCGCATGCCGACACAGTTGTGAGCTCTGGGTCTTTGGGGTGAGTGTGGGTCCCCCCGCGTCCCTTCCCCTTCCCACCTCCTGGAGGCTGTGTGGGGCGGAGGGTGAGTCTCCTACCGCCTCAGACCTCAGGCTGCTGGAGACCTTGGGCGGCGGGAGTGCGGATTTGAGCTCCGCGGCTGCGTGGCCCGGGCTGGTCCCGCCCCTCTGCCCCTCCCCCCCTTCCCAACCCCCGCTCCGCTCGCGTTCCATTCACAAACCCGGCCCCGCCCGCCCGCATCCCGCGGTGTGCAGCTCTAGTTGGGTGGATGCGGGTGTTCTTAAAGGCGCAGGAACCCTTTTCTATGCGCTGGTGCTGAGGCCTCCTACCGGCTCAGACCTTCAGACCTGGGAAGTAAGTGGAGTCGGCTGTGAAGGGGACCCTACCCTCTGGGCATTTCCCACAGGCCCAGCCAGAAATGGAGGTGGACCTCTTTCTTAGCAGCTCCCTGTACCCTCCATCCTTCCATCCTGCCTAGTGTGTGTGTGTGTGGGGGGGGGGCGTCATCTTTATTCTGACGCAAACCGGAGGTTTGGCTGCGGGGGTGGAGAGCGGGCAGCGTCAGAGAGGAGGCTTCCAGAAACACTGGTCTGGGGCGACATTTGTTTGGGATTCCCCGACTTCCTGGGTGAAGGGCAGGGCTGTAGGGGGAGGTAAGCCCGCTGGGAGGCCTTGAGGGAGCCCGAGCTTGGTCAAAGCCTCACAGTAGTGGGAACACCTTCTGGCCATCCAGGGTCCCATGACTGTCTCCACATGTTCTTAGCTAGGCCCGGGACCTCTTAAGACTCCTTGGGAGCTGTATGGCTAAGTCAGGAATATGGGGGCTCCAGTCTCCCGGCAATGGAAACGTCCGTGTTGCAGGCACAGATCTGGAGTGTCCACACATAGGCTAATGAGTGCTAGGATGCGCACATACACGGGCTGGAGCTGAGGCTCCGTGGGTGCAGTGCCTGCAGCCCCGTGGGTGCAGTGCCTGCAGCTCCGTGGGTGCAGTGCCTGCAGCCCCGTAGGTGCAGTGCCTGCAGCTCCGTGGGTGCAGTGCCTGCAGCCCCGTGGGTGCAGTGCTTGCAGCTCCGTGGGTGCAGTGCTTGCAGTATAAACAAAAACCAGACCTGATGGCACACACCTCTCATCCCAGGACTTGGGAGGCAGAGGCAGGGGATCGGGTCATTCTCATCTACATCTGAGGGCAGTCTGCGCTATATGAGCCCTGGCACACATGCAAGAATAAAATATAGTAAGGAAGATCCCATCCCATCCCAACACAGCCATATACTTGACCATACTTCCCACCTCCCAAAGCACACTTGTTCACAGGCAGACAGGCCAAGCAGTCTGTCCACCTGTGATCTCACCTGACTTTGCAAGAAGCCATATATATATGTGTGTGTGTGTGTGTGTGCGTGTGGAGGTGAATAAAATAATTTTTGGAAGTCTGCTCTTTTCATCAGGCTTGGCCGCAGTCAACATTCCTGCTAAAGCCTCCCTCCCTCTTTGTCTGTCGAAATCAGATGGATCTCTTACTGAAACTCAGCTCACTGATTGGCCCCACTGACTCCAGGGTTCATTTGAACCTGCCATCCCCGCTGGCTCTTTGCCAGGGTCTTGGGGATTGGAACTCAGGTCTTATTTAGTTCTTGCATAGCAATCTCTTTACATGCACCCACGAGCTAGCTCCCCAGCTCCTTCCTCCAGTTTTCCTTTAAAAATGAAAAAGATTCATTTTAGCCAGGCACAATGTCGCACAACTTTAATCCCAGAACTCAGGAGGCAGAGGCAAGTGATCTGGGTGAGTTCAAAACCAACCAGGTCTACAGAGTGAGTTCCGGGTCCGAGACAGAGAGAGAGAGAGAGAGAGAGAGAGAGAGAGAGAGAGAGAGAGAGAGAGAGAGAAGCATTCTTAATGGCTGAACTCCCTCTGATGCACCCTGACCCTACCATTTGTTCCGAAAGCTGGGCCTCGTGTAGCCTAGGCTGGCCCTCACTATGTAGTAGAGGCTGTTTTTGAACTCCTGGTTGTCCCGCCTTAATCTCTGGAGTTCGAGGATGACAAGTGTGTATCTTAAAGTTTCCATAACTACTTCATGAATAAGGTGAGAAGAATGGGGGTTTGAACATGAATGTATGGGGGTGAATTTTCCTTGAAACCGGAGTAGTACCCGAGTCAAACCTGTCTATCCATCATAGCAATCTCCCCTCACCTCACAGATGAGGAAGACTGAGCCCCAGAGAGAGGTCCATCACACAGCCACACAGTAGGGAGGAGCTGAGGACTCCCTGGCTGGCTGTGAACTGGAGAGGAAGGTTGGGTCACGGTCCTTCTGTGAGGTCCTTGATCTTCCTCTTTTCCCAGAATCCTTTGCAAAATTCTGTCCCTAGCTGCCTCATCGCCGCCCCGCCGATACCATCCAACAACAGGGACCTCCCCACAGCGACTGTCCCTGCTTGCCCCCATCTGCTTCAGTATGCAATGGCGGGGGGGGGGGGGCGCAGTCCTGTGCCCAGTCAGCAGCCAGAGTCTCTATTGCTGTCATGTACGGCTCCCTGAAAGGTCTGATGGTCTTGCTTAGTATGCCCTGTGGCCTTCCAGAAGCTTCCCTAGTGGCTGGGTCCCCCACACTGCCCCAGTGAACCCGGACAAGTCTCCCCAGGAGAGTTGCTGCTTTTAATCAGAAAATAGATCTGAGCATCTGAGGCTGCTGGCAGGAAGTAAAAATAGTGCCAGTGACAAGAGACCCGAGTGAGGGGCAGTTCCACCTCCGTTCAGTCGGGGAAACTGAGGCCATGTGAGGGCAGGGACCTGAATCCCCAGTGCCTGCCCAGGTCTCCCGAGTTATAAATAGCTAGGCAGCCGAGGCGCGCTTCCGCAGCTGACCCCAGCGTGGCGCTAAAGCTGGTGGCCATGGGTGAGGGAGATACTGCAAATAGAGTTGCTGCTTTAGCCTGCTCCACCTTCCACTCCCCAAACCTGGGTCCTTCAGACTCCCTTTCCCTACCCCCAGAACCCACCCCTGCCCCGCAGACACCCTCCCCTTTCCTCCAGACACCCTCCCCTCTCCCCCAGACACCCTCCTCCCCTCTCCCCCAAACAACCTCCCCCTTCCCCCAGACACCCTTCCATGCTCCAGGCACCATCCCCTGCCCCAGACACCCTCCCCTTCCCAGATACCCTCTTCCTCCAGACACCTTTCCCCTTCCCCAGAAACCCTCCTCTCTCCCCAAGATACCCTCCCCTTCCCCCAGACACCCTCTCCCTTCCCCAGGC